TAGGGGAAGCAGGCGGCAGGGGGAAGGTGGCACAATCTTTTTCTTAGTTTCCTTTTTTTTTTGGTTTGTTTTGTGCGTGAGTTTGCGTGCGTGCGTTTTGTGTGTGTGTGTGTGTGTGTGTGTGTGTGTGTGTGTGCGTGAGAGAGAGAGAGAGAGAGAGAGATGAGGGGAGCGTTAGGAGAAGGCGTGTGGGGAGGGGGTTAAAGGCACGCCACAACCAACGGGCTTAGCTCAGTCGGTACTACCATGGCCTGTTGAAATGCAGACCGGTCGAACTCAAATGTTGAAATAGAATAATTGTGGATTACATGGGGCCAGTCAGCTCGATGACGATATCTCAATCGCCGCCATTTATGTAAAAGCAAGAAAGAAGAAGAAAAAAGAACAGCCACGTGGCTGTGCCACGTGGAGCGATTTTTTTTCCGTTTTCTTTGTTTTTCCCTGCGTACGGATCCGGGCCGTCCGGCCAACCAGCACCTGCCCGGGGGAGGTCCCGGGGGGCCTGGCCAGGCGGACGGCCCGGTTGGGGGCCGGGCCTCCCCAGCACACCTTGTTGGCGGGGGGTTTCCGACCACGAATCGGCGAGATTTTGCCTCCCCAGAGCCTACCGGGTTCGACCACGCCGACAAAACAGCGCGTCGGGCCCGTAAGGCCTGTTTTTTTTTTTTTGAATTTGGGACGGCCCTCTCGCCGTCGATCATCCATGATCGACGCCCAGAGGGCCGTTCGTTTTTGGAGGGAAAACGGAGGCCCCGTTTGAACAAGCGACTGGCTGGGGCGGCCTGCATTGGCTGTCCAAACGGGGCCTCGATACCTGCTCCAGCCGCCCGAGTTCGTCGTCGAAGTAGCTGCCCCTCGTCGCCATCGCCTGGGAGCTTCACTCGCCCGTCGTCCTCGAGTCGCCCGTCGCCCTTCCCCAGCGTCGTTGATCGCGGTGCTCCTGCCGGGCGACAACCCCTGCCGCCCGTCGTCGAGGAGTGCCGGTCTGTTCTTCTTCTTCTTTTTCTTCCCTCCTCCTCCTCCGCTCATTTTTTTCTGCTTCTTCTTCTCTCCTCCTTCTCCTCCCCCTCTCATCTTCTTTTTCTTCTTCTTCTTCTTCTTCTTCTTCTTCTTCTTCTTCTTCTTCTTATACGTCTTCTGCTTTCTTCTTCCACGACTTCTTCACTCCTCCTCCCCCCCCTTTCATCTTCTTCTTCTTCTTCTTCTTCTTCTTCTTCATCTCTCGTCGTCGTCCTCCCCCTCATCTTCTTCTTATTATTATTCTCTCCTCCTCCTCTTCCGACTCTCTTCTTTTTCTTCTTTTTTTTTACATTCGTTAGCGATAGGTCGAGATAAACGACAGGTAAGGGAAAAAAACAAAAAAAACTGCCCCGCTCGTCATCTTCTTCCTCTTCTTCTTCTTCTTCTTCGCCGATCATTCTGCCGCCTCTTGTCTCCTCCTCCTCCTCCCCCTCTCATCATCATCATCTTCTTCTTCTTCTTCTTCTTCTTCTTCTTCTTCTTCTTCTTCTTCTA